TCATTTACCAGCTGGCTAAATGTCCACAGCCCAGATCAATGCTTTCAGATATAAAAAAAATGTTCAAACCTGAACTTTTCTCAGACAAACTAGGTAGTGATGATGATGATGATGATGATGATGATGATAATGATAATGATAATAATAATAATAATAATAATAATAATTACTGAGAAGTTGACACCAAACTACACGACCCAAATCAGAAGAGCTGGTGTGAAGGCAGGATGGCAACTATGTCTAAATTTCCCAGGTTATTTGTAACCATGACTGTTATAAAGAGTGAGGTAGGGTAGTGATGGAGATGGCTCAGTGGTTAAGAGCACTTGCTGCTCTTGCAGAAGACCCAGGTTCAGTTCCTAACACCTACAGGTGATTCATAACTGTTTGTAACTGTAGTTCCAGATGATGTGAGGTCCTCTTCTGGCCTCTCTGTAGGAACTGTATTGTGTGGCTCACATACATACACACAGACAAAACACTTGGATGGGTAAAATAAAACTGAATCAATCTTTAAAAAACAGAAAGGAAGAGCAGGGGTTCCATAGAAAGGAAACTGAATTGCCCCCCAGATGCACTTTTTTTATGACAGTTAACTTCCAAGGCCTGAGAGAGAAAGCTCACCTGCAGGCCCAAGGAAGGGTTTCCTTAGGAGGGACAGCCATTGTGGACAGCATGGCAGGGGTCCTGAATGGATGTCGTCTTTAGTTTCTAGAATATTAGGAAACAGAGAGTATCCTGGCCAGGAGCAGCTTTAATGGACCTTGAGAGAAGGTGTGGCAGCCTGGGTACCCTGGTTCCCTTCAGATTCCAAGAACCAAGCAAGTTTCTTATTTTTGGTTTGCAGAAGAGGCAGGGTTAAATGCCATAGCATGTGACCTGGCCTATCTGTTGGAAGTCACAGGGCACAAAGGCAGTCGTGACTCAATGTCCTCTCACAGGAGCAAGGGAGAGGAGGAACAGCTACAGGATCATAGCATGCCTGTTTGTCAACTCCACCCCGGGAGGGGCCAAGGTGGGTGGCTTGGAGTGGGGAAGAGGATCAGCAGGTAGGCAGGCCATCTCACCATAAACAGAACTGGTACCTTGTGGTGTAACTGTTGGTGCCCACTGTGTACCTCCCCATTCTCCCCTCCCCATTCTCCTCTCTGCTGCTTTTGGTGTTCTCTGATTATCTGAATCCTGTGGTAGAGAAGTTCACCTTAGGATTTTGAGAAATATCCAGGTACTGTTCTTTCCAAACTTAGACGCATGTACCATGGAGAACACATGCTATATCCACACACGTAGCATGGTGTATGGCCTGGGTATAAAATACATAAAGCCTTTGATGATCAATGCTGCCTATTCTCACAACAAAATTTAGAGTCATCTAAGAGACAAGCTTCCAGTCTCACCTACGAGGGATTATCTACACTTTGTCAGTGTCTGAGAATGTCCATGAAAGATTCTCTTGATTATGAAAGACCCCCGAAGAGAGTCTTCCTTCTGGAGAGACCCTTCCCAAGGATCAGCGAGAACACCATTGCGGATGCAAACAGCAAGAGGTTTATTTTCAGATACACAGGCACCTGGGGCGGCAGAGTCTCTCGGAAGACTTGCGCGCCCCCAGGCTGTGGTAAGGGGTTTTTATAAGGGCAGAGAGCAAAAAGCGCGGTTACAGAAGCAGATGCCATGGTTACAGGGATTTCATTGGACAGCTTAATTTAGCCAGGTTAAATTGGGGAGAAATTCCCCCTTGATACATGGACCCCGGTTAGGGCTGAGTTGGCCCTTTCATAACTGGCACTTCCCGTTCTTGCCTTGCCTCCACGGCTGACCACAGATATCCTGTTTTGCTACCGACAGTCTGTAATCCTGTTTTGCAATGTATGAATGTCCTCTGTCTGAATTCCCCAAAAGTACAAGCCTTGCATAAAATGGTGTTATTTTTAGCTGCGGCAGCAATTTGAGCAATTTGGGTTGGGGTCTTTCATTCCCCCATTTCTCTTGTTAATTGGAATGAAATCTTTCATTCCTTTGGAGGGGTTGCAGTCAGAGTCTGAATATATTGGTTCAGTTGGCTGATATTGCAGGGTCAATATGAATGCCTGCATCACTGCCAGTCTGTCTTTTACAAACTGTACCAGCCGGTTTAAAATGCAAGGGCCAAACAAGAAAATTAAAAGAATGATAATCATGAGGCCCATAATTGTGGAGATCAGGGTGGTGAACCAGGGAGACCTGTTGTACCATCCCTCGAACCATCCCTGTTGGGATTCAACTATTTGCTGTCTATTTTTGAGTCTTTCTCTTAGCTTGGCCATACTGTCTCTTACTAATCCAGTATGGTCTGCATAAAAGCAACATTCCTCTTTAAGGGCCGCACATAACCCTCCTTCTTTTAAGAATAGGATATCCAGCCCCCTTCTGTTTTGTAAGACAACCTCCAAGAGGGACGTTAAGGATTTTTCAAGGGCACTTATGGACTCTTCGAAGGCCTGGATGTCCGTATTCATGGCTAGTTGTAGTTGTCTGAATTGTCTGGTCTCAGTTAAAGCTATTGCCCCTGTCCCTATTCCAGCAGCCATTCCCCCTACAGTAATTCCTCCTAGTAAAAGGGCCACAGTTATGGACACCGGTTCCCTACGATATCTGGGCCTCCTTTCGTAGTGGCTGTAAAAGTCTTCAGATTTATGATAAATTACCTTAGGCCATAATTCTATCAAGACACAGTAATCATTAAATTTATCAAGTACTGCGGCTGAAATACATGGTGTTAGCCCGGTGCTACATGCCCAATATGTCCCAGTAGGGGCTACCAAATAATAAAATCCTGTGGAGGTTAATTTATCTATTTTTCTGCATAACCTTTGATGGCTGGGGGGAGCATCCCCTATACAATATCCTTCCCCTGAAACTTCTGATAAGGTCAGTCTATGCCGGGGTATAGAGGTACATTGGGAGGGGGCCTTGGTGTGGTTGGTATAGTTGCCCATGATAGCTATCCCTTCATAATATGGGGGCCTTGAGACCAAAAAAAGCCAGAAATCTTGTGTCTTGTCAGGATTAGTGTAATTGAGGGCTAAGTAGGTTCCCTCCATTAGATTTAATAGGCGGTCTCCCGTCCCTTCCTGAATTAAGGCAGCTGTGGGGATGGGAGTTGAGCCATGAGTCCTAGGTGGACTAGGCATAACAGGTGGTGCATTGTGATCAATTGACAGTTCCTTATTTTCCTGTACAGATGGGAGCCGCTGATTTGTCAAAACTTGATTAGGGCCGATAGGTATGGCCGCTGTCTTTACCTTAAGTTGTATTTTGAATATCACCCCTTTATCTGTCCCTGACATATGCCAGCGGAGCCCCCAGGTATAGCCTTTTTGCCATTCCAGGGCTTGTTTACCCTTGTCAGTAAATGTAATGTTAAGGGGCAGCGAAGTGGTTCCTGCCCTATTTTTAACCCAGCCTCTCTTGACAATAATTTTGTCCCAGGAGGAGGAGGGATTCCAGTAGGCATCCCCAGTGGTTTCGCATGTCCACTGAGCACAAAAATATTGTTCATACCCGCCACAAGCATATGCTTTGTCTCTGCTTCTATCATCCTTTGGACATACATAGAAATCTAATGAAGCTAGCCTGTCTTTAGCCCAATTGTCCCTGCATCCGGGGGAAGTTTGTATAGGCCCTCCTGATGAGCTGACCTCTGTGGCCGCACGCTTAGCGCGTGGCAGGTTGTCCTCAGAGTTGGTAGGGTCCTCGATGGGGACATCCCAGGTGTCTAAACCAGCTGCTAATTGACAAAAATCTGGGGTCAGGGGCGGCCACCATGTATTGGGGGAATATTGGCCAGTTTTCTTCCAGACTGTCTCGCCGGTCTGGGAGATGACCCGCCAGGTTAATAAGTAGACAGTGTGGGGGCCCTCTCCCTGTGTCCCCATAGGTCCTAGGATTAATAGGAAAAACCCGATCATCTTAAACATTAGTTGCAAACCAGTCTTATCTTTAGGGGATTTTGGGTACGCTGGACCTTCCATTTCTTTTCCTGGTCTGGTGTCTGCTGTCCCGGGCTGGCGGCTTTTACATGTGAAGCATGTATCCAGGCTGCTATCCCGTCGACTTTAAGCGCCGTAGGGGTGGTCAATAGTACGGTATAGGGTCCCTTCCAGCGGGGCTCGAGGTTCTTGGTTTGGTGTCTGCGAACCCAGACAGAGTCCCCGATCTGGAACGGGTGGGGGATCGCAGGTCTGTCCAGCTGTTCTTGGTAGGCAGCGGCCAGTGGTTTCCAAATCTCCTTCTGGACAAGCTGGAGTGCCTGTAAGTGGGCTTTAAGAGAAGGGCTGTTAGCATAATCAGCAATGGTGTCATCAAAGAAATTAATCATTGGTGGTGGTGCCCCATAGATTATTTCAAATGGGGTTAATCCATGGGGGCCCGGAGTGTTCCGGACCCTGTATAAGGCCAGGGGCAGTAGGAGTACCCAGTCTCTAGAGCCAGTTGCGAGCGTCAATTTGGACAAAGTCTCCTTTATTGTTCTATTTGTACGTTCTACTTGACCTGAGCTCTGGGGTTTGTAAGCACAATGTAATTTCCAATCAATCCCCAATAGCTTAGCCACCAGCTGACTTACCTGGGAGACGAAAGCAGGCCCATTATCTGACCCCAAGACTTGGGGCATCCCATATCTGGGGAAGATCTCTTCCAGCAATTTCTTGGTGACTATTTTGGCTGTCTCATGTTTGGTAGGGAAAGCTTCCACCCATCCGGAAAAGGTATCTATGAATACTAGCAAGTATTTATAGCCATATAGTCCTGGCTTTATTTCTGTAAAGTCAATTTCCCAGTGAATACCTGGTCGGTGTCCCCGCATGCGGACTCCGATTCCAACCTTTGTCCTTCCGGCATTTACCTGTGCACAGGCCTTGCAAGAATCGGTTACTTGTTGTAAGATGACATCCTTTCCCAGCAGGTGGTAAATGTTTTCTTCCCTATCCAAGAGAGCTTTCATTTTTCGGCAACTGAGGTGGGTCAATTTATGCAGGTAGGATATTAATTCAAAAGTTTGTCCGATGGGCATTACTGGCTTTCCTGCATAGACCCAGCGTCCTTTTGTGGAGTCAAAGGATGCCCCCAAGGTTTTTAGTAAATCAGTGTCCTCCTTAGTGTATCGGAACAAGCCATGGCTTGGAGTTTCAGGGGAGGCTTCTGCCTCTGGTTGGAGGGGAAAGGCTTGGGAGGCCATCGAGGTCAGGCCTTTTGCAGCCTCCCGGGCGGATACTAGCTGTATCCGCTAGTCTATTTCCCCTTGCCTCTGGGGCATCTCCTTTTTGATGCCCCAGGCAATGAATGATGCTCAGTTTTCGGGGCAAAAATAAGGCCTTAAGTAAGGCCAAAATCTCAGCTTTGTTTTTAATTTCCCTCCCCTCTGAGGTGAGCAGTCCTCTTCTCCGATAGATTTCCCCATGAATATGGGCAGTGGCGAAAGCATATCAGCTGTCTGTATAGACATTTAGTCTCTTGTCTTTCGCCATCTGGAGTGCCTGGGTAAAAGCAATAAGTTCAGCCCTTTGAGCTGAGGTCCCTGGTGGGAGGGCCTCTGCCCAAATTACCTCGGTTTCGGTGGTCACCGCCGCCCCCGCCTTTCTGGCTCCATCCTCCATGAAGCTGCTCCCGTCTGTGTACCAGGTGAAGTCCGCATCTGAGAGGGGCTGGTCCATGAGGTCTGGCCTGGTTCCATGCGCTTCCGCCAGGATCTGCAGACAGTCGTGTTGGTCTGGTCCTTCCGGCAGTGGAAGCAGGGTGGCGGGGTTGAGTGCCAATGTTGGGCCGAACCGCACTCGGTCAGTGTCTAGGAGCATTGCCTGATAGTGGGTCAGGCGTGCGTTGGACAGCCAGCGGTCCGGAGGCTGTTTAATCAGAGCCTCTACCGCATGGGGTGCCAGGATAGTCAGTGGCTGTCCCAAGGTCAGTTTACCAGCGTCCTTTGTTAGGACCGCTATGGCTGCCACCATGAGGAGACAAGGGGGCCATCCTGAGGCCACAGGGTCCAACTTTTTGGAGAGGTATGCTATAGGCCGTCTCCAGGGTCCCAGTCTTTGGACTAGGACTCCTTTGGCATAGCCCCGACTCTCATCCACAAACAATTCCAACGGTTTGGTCAGGTCTGGGAGGCCCAAAGCTGGTGAGGCCAACAAAGTTTTCTTAATGTTCATATAGGCCTCTTGTTGGGCCTCCCCCCAGGTAAAGAGTGTCCCTTGTTTGGTAAGCGGGTAAAGGGGGGCTGCTAATTCTGCGAACCCGGGGATCCAAAGGCGACAGTATCCAGCGGTCCCCAGGAATTCCCGCAGCTGACGGGGTCCCTTGGGGACGGGGATGTTCAGGATGGCCTGCTTACGTGCCTCAGTCAGCCATCTCTGTCCCTCCTGGAGTCGATACCCTAGGTATATGACTTGTTGTTGACAAATCTGGGCTTTCTTTGCAGAGGCCCGGTAACCAAGAGTTCCTAAGGTTCTTAGTAAAGCAGAGGTCCCCTCCCTGCATTCAGCTTCTGTTTTTGCTGCCAACAATAAGTCATCAACATATTGTAGCAGGATCAAGTCCGGGTGCTGAATTCTGAAGTCAGCCAGATCCCTGTGTAGGGCCTCATCAAAGAGGGTGGGGCTCTTTTTAAACCCCTGTGGGAGCCTGGTCCATGTCAATTGCCCAGAAAGCCCCATTTCTGGGTCCTTCCATTCGAAGGCAAAGATGGGCTGGCTACCTGGGCGTAATCTTAAGCAAAAGAAAGCATCCTTGAGATCCAGTACCGTGTACCAGCTATGGGAGGGTGGAAGTCCACTCAGTAGATTGTAGGGGTTGGAGACCGTGGGGTGAATGTCTTCCACCCGCCTATTGACCTCTCTCAAGTCCTGCACCGGCCAATAATCGCCCGTGCCGGGTTTCTTGACTGGGAGGAGAGGGGTGTTCCATGGTGACCGGCAAGGAATCAGAACCCCTTGATCCAGGAGTCTCTTAATGTGTGGTCTAATTCCTTGGTAGGCTTCTTGGGACATGGGATATTGCTTAATTGACACGGGGGTAGCCATGGTCTTTAAAGCAATGATCAAAGGGGGTTGCCGAATTGCCAAGCCCATGCCCCCGGTTTCGGCCCAAGCCTGGGGAAATTCTTTTAGCCAAAACGTGGTGGTCAATTTTTGGGGTTCCTCATGTTCTCCTGGCTCATATAGCTTGTATTCATCTTCCAAATTGATGGTTAGGACATGGAGGGGCTCCCCTTGGGGGCCTGTAACGTGAGCCCCTGCTTCCTCAAAATGTATTTGTGCTCTCAATTTAGTGAGAAGATCTCTGCCCAATAGCGGGTAGGGGCAATCAGGCACATGCAAAAAGGAATGAGTCACCTTACCAGTAGCCAGTAGCACTTTCCGGTCCGTAGTCCATCGGTAACGTTTTCTTCCGGTGGCTCCCTGGAACCAAGCTGACGGGTCACTCAGTGGCCCTGTAGGCTGGGTCAACACTGAGTGTTGAGCGCCGGTGTCCACGAGGAAGGTGACCGGATGCCCCCCAACATCATTGGCCATTGTCACCCGGTACCCTCTTATGAGCCTCCAGAAAGACTCGCTGCTTTTCCTCGCTGGTTAATAAAGCCTGTAATAATTGCTGGCAATCATCCCAGGTGGGCTGGTGAGTGACCAAAATAGATTCAATAAGAGAGGTTAGCATGGTGGGGTCCTTGGAAAAGGGAGGGTTATTATGTTTCCAGTTATAAAGATCGGAGGCTGAGAATGGCCAGTATTGAGGTTGGCCATTTGGCCCTATCCGGAGGGGGAAAGCCTGTGAGGTGGAATCTGGGGGGGGTTCCCGGCGTCCACGCAGTTGTCCAGCTATTGGGGACGTGGCTGGGGGTGCGGGGTCCGGGGCCGCCGCAGTTGGGGCAGCTTCCTCTGGTGGAGCGGGTCCTTGGTATGGCGTGGGTTGTTCGTCCAATAGGTCCATTAATAATTCATCTCCAGGAGGCAGGACCGTCCTTGCCATTGGGGTCCTTTCGTTTTTCCCTCCAGGCTGCAAAGGCTTGGTGTGAACCGGGTAAAGAGAAGATTGAGTATGTGGTTTAGCCGGGGTTGGGAGGAGGGGAGGAGGAAGGGTAGGGGCAGAAGGTTCTTTCAAGAATGGCTTAGGGAGAACAAAAGGTTTGACCCAAGGAGGTGGGTCGTAGGCCAAGGCTTCCCAGGTCACAATGTAGGCCACCTGATCAGGGTGCCCATGTGGGCCTGGGTTCATCACCTTGGCTTTTACCTGTAAAATAACATCAAGGCTAAAGGTTCCATCTTGTGGCCAGCCGACATTGAAAGTTGGCCATTCAGAGGAACAGAAAATGACCCATTTCTTTTTGTGGACCTCCACGGACTGGTTATTAGCCATGTCCTGAACATCTCTCCAGTGCTGTAAGGTGAGACTCAAGGGGGTAGTTATGGATTGCCCCATAATTTCCAATGAAATTGCCGTAGACGTGAAACAGACAAAAAGGACGCAGAGACAAACACAGACAATTTTCGCAGAGCGGCTCCGGCGCAAAACCGAAAGCAAAAACTCAGATGGAGACATAAATGAGGGTCCGGATCCCTTGCCTCCCAGAAGGATCACGTACCCCTCAGACAAAGGTGGGGCTCCGAAGAGTCCGATCCGGGGTACGGATTCCGACAGATGGGCCCTGAAATATCGGGCCCCAGACACCCTTGGAACGTCTTCCAGGGTTGCGGGGGAGAAATCCGAGTTCGTCAACTCCTTCTCTATCCCGCCAAATACAAGACACCCAGCTGAGGTATACAGAACGCAGCACAGTCGACAAACAGACAATCAGACGTGACAAAAATAAAAGGCTGGCCAGCTTACCTCCCGAAGGTGGGTCGGTGGTCCCTGGGTGGGGGTCTCCAGATCCCCGTACGGGCCACCAAATAAAAGACCCCCGAAGAGAGTCTTCCTTCTGGAGAGACCCTTCCCAAGGATCAGCGAGAACACCATTGCGGATGCAAACAGCAAGAGGTTTATTTTCAGATACACAGGCACCTGGGGCGGCAGAGTCTCTCGGAAGACTTGCGCGCCCCCAGGCTGTGGTAAGGGGTTTTTATAAGGGCAGAGAGCAAAAAGCGCGGTTACAGAAGCAGATGCCATGGTTACAGGGATTTCATTGGACAGCTTAATTTAGCCAGGTTAAATTGGGGAGAAATTCCCCCTTGATACATGGACCCCGGTTAGGGCTGAGTTGGCCCTTTCATAACTGGCACTTCCCGTTCTTGCCTTGCCTCCACGGCTGACCACAGATATCCTGTTTTGCTACCGACAGTCTGTAATCCTGTTTTGCAATGTATGAATGTCCTCTGTCTGAATTCCCCAAAAGTACAAGCCTTGCATAAAATGGTGTTATTTTTAGCTGCGGCAGCAATTTGAGCAATTTGGGTTGGGGTCTTTCAATTACATCTATTGAAGTGGGAAGATACACCTTAAATGTGGGAGGCACTGTTCCCTGGGCTGGGGTCCCAAAGGAACTGAGTACAGCATTCATCAGATCTCTGCTTCCTGACTGAGGATGCCATGAGATCAACCCCTCAGCCTCTTGTTACTATGACTTCCCTATCTTATTGGACAGTAACCTGGAACTATGATCCAAAAGCCTCCTTCTACTCTCACTGTCTATCATAACAACAAAGTATAGTGTTCACGTGGAGATTCCAGGGTGTGGCTTAGTTGAAGAGCCCTTCCCCAGGAATGTTGGTCGAGGCTGCTTGTTTGTTCCCAGCTGCCTAGGTCACAAAATAATCACACAGAAACTATATTATTAAAATCACCGCTTGGCCAATCACATAAGCATATGTATGGCTAATTCTTACATCTTAAATTAACCCAGTTCTATTAATCTGTGTATCGCCACATGGTTGTGGCTTACTGGCAAGGCTCTGGCACATCTGTACCCAGAGGAGACTACCGACACGGCTTTTCACTGACTCTGCATACTCTTTCTATATATCTTTTCCAGTCTGTCTAAATTCTGTTAAGCCATTGGCCAAAAGCAGCTTCTTTATTCAATAGCCAATAAAAGCAACCCATATACCAAAGGACTTCCCACACCATTTCCTCTTTTCTCTTTAAATAAAATACTTGAACAAAGTAAAATTACATATAAGTAAACAGATATCAAGAAAGAATTACAGTTACAACATTTATATCTACTTTATCTTTTATAATAACTAAGGAAAACTATAATTATAACTATCTATTCTTCAGCTCCTTCAAAGACCCTAAAAGGATATAATATTACCTAAGTTAACAGGAAGTGCATCATAAGCAACTTCCAAACTCTAGAATTGACAGAGATATCTTTCTGCCTGGACAGTCACCCAAAGTTCTTCAGTAACATTGGGGCACCCATCTTCAGCCTACTGGCCCATAGTATCTGGTAGATTTTTTCAGGAAGCAGGAAATTTCAAAGACAGTTCCACCTATATTGGCAGTTTGTCAGTCACTTTTTTCTGTGTCATGCAGAATGTCTGGCAGTCTGGCAGACTCTCTTGAAACAAGAACCCCGAATGACTGTCTCACCTTCTTTAGGCAACTTTAGCAGTTCATTTTTCTGTGGGTCCTGCAGATGTTATGATTTTTAAAAAATGCTGCAAGATCCCCAGCATCAGTAGGCAGCAGAAATGCTGTAGGTCCCTGAATGGTGGTAGTGGGGCATGTGGGGACAGGCAGCAGGCCCTGGGAGCAGCCACCCAGCAGACACAGCTGCCAGTCCCCAAGCGGTGGCTGGTACAAGGCAGGGAGACACATGGCAGGCAGGCAGGAGACAGAAACATGAATAGACACAACATGTAAAATGAGGTTAAATATTTATTAATTGAGCTTTGGGGGAAAGGCAAAAGGAGAGGGGGAAAGAGAGGAGAGAAAGAGAGAGAGAAAGGAAAGGGAGAAGAGGAAAGAGATAGCAAGAGAAGTGAGTGGGAGAGGGGGAGCTTGTTCAGCCAAAGGGGAACAGAGAGATGCTAAGATGGCGAGAGGAGGGGGGGTCCCACCGGGAGTGGGTGTGGCTTGTCTCTTAAAGTGATGACAATCATAACAGCAGGTCCAGTAAAACAGTTCAGGCAAGAGCAGCTTCTTGTCCAAATGGCTAACAAATTCCATAAGGAGCCTCTTTGATGCCCATCATCCTCTTGAAGTAGATTGGTGCTGCCAGGAACAGATATGTTTTGTGTCATGAAAAGTCCTAAGTTATTAAAACATTTTAAATGCCATGTTCTATAGTTTTTGAAAGACCTGAAGAATATTTTTCCATCTGAAATACATCTCTGTACATCTAGAAAACATAACTAATATGACTACAAACTTGACTATAATAGATGATTATCTATTAACCTGTATTTCTTAATTATCCATTACATTTTAAATGAGTTACAGAAACACAATACCTTAAATAAGAGCAGAAATATACATATAACAAAATCGACCTTAAATTTGTATCAATAAACCACAATCCATACCAATACAAATCTGTATAGCATATCCTCCTTTAAATGTAAAGAAACCTTTATTAACAATATTTGGGAATATGGGCATAGTTCTCTCCAAACTGATTCCTGCTTTTTGTTGTGCAAAATAATTTTTGGGGGTGTTTATGATGACTTTTTGGGGGGGTCTTGGACCATCAAGCCACATTAGTCTGGAAGGAAGGCATGGGTTTTCATCTTCCGTGGAAACAAAAGAAAAACTTCTTTTCCAAAGCAACAAATCCTTAGACCCAAAGTTTGAAGTCAAGATACCTCTAAAACATATATATTAGTTTAGCTTAGTAGCCTGTACAATGAAATATCTCTTTATACTTAGCTCATTTACAGTCAAAAAATTCAAAGAAAACATAATAATATACATAATCCAGACTCTCTATATAAGAGAGTAGTTGGGTGTGGTGGCACACATCTTTAATCTCAGCTCTTGGGAGGCAGAGGCAGGAAGATCTCTGTCAGTTCAAAGACAGCCTGGCCAATAGAGTGAGTTCCAGGACAGCCAAAGATACACAGAGAAACCCTGTCTTAAAAAACAAAACAATTAAAAATAAAAGATGAGAATACACAGGAAGTCTGTGTACTATGTCTTATTGCTTTATCTTTGAATTGTTTAATGTCTGAGGAAGGAGCAACAGCTATTAAAAGGCATTTGATTATAAATGCTGCTGGATTAATCCCACATATATATTTTGAAAATGCCTTGACTTCAAATTTAAGTCAAAGATATACTACTTTGGAGAAGAGGTTTTGCTTTTGTTTCCATAGGAAATGAGAGGCTATGTATTCATTCTGGGTTAAGAAAAATCATGTTTGATCAAGGAAAAACCCCTGAGAAATCTCTAATAGGAGCAGATGGCCCAGACGATCCAACATTTTACAGGACCTCTGTTGGAATTTCCTGTGAGTTGTACATTCAGAACATACTCAAAACTGTTGACTGAGATGATCAAGCCTCACATAATATTCCAGTCAGAACTTGACCATAATTTCTTAGATTCTCATAAGATTATCAGTTGCACCCCAATCAGCAGAAGCTAGCCTAAAAATCTATGCCTGTATTCTCCCCAAAATAGATATGGATGTTTTTCTTTGTTTAGAGTATTGGTTACAAGTTGTTATGGATAATGGTCAGGAAAAAAGCTAAACAAAGGAGATTAGATAGATTCAGAGTTTTTGTTTTAAAAAAAAGGGGGTGGGGATGCTGTGGGACAATGGGCTTGTATTTCGTAAAGGTTTGTCACTTGTATTAGTTTAATAAAATGCTGACTGGCCAGTAGCCAGGAGGGAAGTATAGGCAGGGTGACCAGAACAGGAGAATTCTGGGAAGAGAAAAGGCTCAGTCTACAGTCATCACCAGACACAGACGACACAAGATGAGAATGCCTCACTGATAAAGGGTACCAAGCCATTTGGCTAACCCAGACAAGAATTATGAGTTAATGTGAGGTATAAGAGGTAGTTAGCAAAAGAGCATAAGCTACTAGGACAACCAGTTTATAATTAGTGTAAACTTCTGTGTGTTTCTTTGAGACTGAATGTGTGTGGGACTGATTTCTCAGTGTTGAAGTGCTAACTGCTAACACATGTGCAGTTTGAATACAGAAAAGCACTAGCTGGGAACAGGAACACAAGCTCATGTAATGTTAAGTGGTGAGCTGAGAAAGGGGTCAGGTGGGGACATCAGAGGATTGGAAGGTCCATGTCTCCTGTGTGCCATCCAACAGAAGACATTTGAAAATAGGTTAGACTGGCCCTTTTCCAAAAGTAAAATATATGGATTGCGTTTTTTTATGTGTGCCCTTCCAATTTTTAATTTTTGGCAACAATTTCACTTTTATAAAAAGTACCGAATAAGCTTAAGAAAAC